AAATATATATATATTTATTTTCTTATTTTGAATGGAAGATAAAGTTTAATATTTACATAAATTACCTCAAGTTGCCACTATGTTGAAGATTTGACATTTTAGTAGTTTAAGTAAATAAAAAATGTAATAATAGGGTGTAGAAGGAATAAGATGCAAGTTCTGCCATACCATGTATGACGTATCGGCATTGTTCCTCTTCTTTTGGCCAAAAGGTACACTTAGTCACTGACCTATAGAAGGGCCACTATGAACATTGTTGGACAACAAGATTGATTGACAAGGAAACAAATTAAAACGGTGTTTGAAACATCACACCAACATAAACATACTATCAGTGTTCACGAAAAGACAACAATTTACAGAAGAGCCCTCATGATTATGGATGTTGTGATACTACTGATATTAAAAAAGTATCAATACATTTCTTTCGATACAAGTACTTTTTGTATCTATCAATACTTTACTTGTATCGATAAAAAAATACTGGTATCGAATGTATAGCATTAAATCATTTATTAACCGCCATAATGGTTCAAAAATCAAAAGTACTCGAATGGTCGAATGGTATCAAAGAACAATTCTTTTCTAGAAAAATTATTTGCGCGCATGGTAGAGAATTTGTTTATAAAATTCGGTCATCATACTAAAGTCTATACTTTATACGACTGTATTTGTTATTTCCATGAACCAGAAACTACAGTCCACAATACAATAGTGTCAATAGGTTTATAATAAACCTTTTTATCATAAATTATGTATACTGAGTTCATTTTTAGCCATGGAAATAGTAAAAAGTATTGCACAAAATATACAATATGTTTAGATTTACTGATTTATATACCGATTAGATGAAATATAAATTACAAATAATGATATAGGTACCTGGCGGAAACAATTAAAAATTTGTTTACATACAGCATTTTTATCTGTGGTTCATGAACCATAACTAGTTTTAGTTAAATATTAGTAAAATGGCATATTTTAAGATATACTAACATTTTGAATTCATTCTTAACTTGGAGAAAGAAAACTTTAAAATATAAAAATAATTTTTCATTTGATACTTATTTATATAGGTCGTTTTCATATTTTATTTTTATCAACATTTTAATTATATTTGTTACGATGATAGGACTAAGTAAAAGGATCAATATTTTTTTTTCGATACTCATACCGGTCGTTACGTTTCGTTATTTTCATTTCATTCATTACCAAGTGAAAGTATCGATACTTTTCTTTCGATATCATGTTTCTACCTGTAAAACCATAGATAATAGTTAGATACTTCTTTGACTGTAGAAAATAATTTTTTTATGGATAATACATTACATGCTTTTATTAAAGTTAGATTTAGGCGGTGCGATGCACAATGAGTGTATATTGCCTTTGGTTGCAAATTTAAGATTCTAGCTTGAACTCCGCGGTATTTACCAGACATATTTGATCCACCATCATATCCCTGCCCTCGTAAAAATTCCAAACTTAAACCAATTTCTTTTAATTTTTGGACGATTGTATTTGCTAAATTTTCACCAGTACATTCATAAACCGGAACAAAGCAAATAAAATTTTCTTTTACCAAGCATGATTTTAAATCAACATATCTAATCGATAAACTCATTTGCTCAATGTGTGATAAATCAGAAGTTTTATCACATAAAATTGAAAAAAATTTACATTCATTCACCTCTTTTATTAATTTGTCTGTGATAATCAAGCCACATATATCGATTTTGTTTAGGTGACCACGTTTCTTTTAAATATTTGTAAAGCATATTTGGATCGTTTCGAATTTTTAGATTTGCATTTTTTTCAATAGCAAATGCGATATCATATTGACTGTTATAATCGACTTCACACGAATCAGAAAATGTAGCTGGCTCTGACTCTGTTGGTAACACG